AAAAAATTAAGGGTTAAAAAAATTAAAGTAAAGAAAGTAAAAACAGATATTAGGCCTCTAAATGGAGTTTTACACACTTATGGTAGTAAAATAGTGTTCCGAGGGAGTTCCTGTGGCCTTGTGGTTAGGAGTTGTGCTGCCAACCCAAAGGCAGTTGGCTCAAATCCACCAGAACCTCTTCAGGCGAATGATGGGCAATATACTGCCTCTGAAAACCTGCTGGAGGATCAGCTATGAGTTGGTTCCAACTTGATAGTATGAAACAACAACAACAGCAACATGGAGTTATGTGTCAGGAATATTCAAGTGACTAGAGCTTAATTTTGATCAATGTAAAAATTATCAAAACGCACAATCCAACCCACTAAACAGAAACAGCTTAGTCTTTTACTCCTAGGAATCTACTTCTGGTTGCAGTCTTGGCACCATTCTGTAAGTCTGGTACTTAATGTAATTTGTGTTAACATCTAAATGACTTGTAATTGTAATTTTCCTACTTTAACTGGATGGTTACTTAAGTGTTTGGACATTTATTCTCCTTATTAACTCAAATGTATAATACATGGTACATGGTTGTTAAAGAATGACTTCTAATGTTTGGAATTTTTTAATTCTTTCTTTGAGACACAAGCTATAATAAGTTTTTAAAAAATATTTTATATATGTTTTATTCTGGTAACAAGTTTGATTATTCATGCATCAGTTAACACACACAAACATATATATTCACATACTCAAATACATAAATAAATTTATTACTTATATAATTCTATGTTTTTAAGTATTTCAGTCAAGTAATCCTCCAGTTCTTTCATACAGGTTTTATCAAAGGCTGAGCATGTATATAACTATTTCACAATAGTTGAGTTGTTATTTCTCCTTATATTTCTGACAGTTTTAACTTTCTGGATTTTGGCATTTTGGGTTATTTGATGCAAAGAGATTTGTAACTATTTTATCTTCATCATTAATTACACCAAATGAAATATTTTCTCTCTCCTTAATTTTTTATATCTCATCTAAACTTTAAAAAATAATATTATCTCTCTTTTTCCACATATGCCCCTGGTAATCTGTCCTTCATTCTATCTTATTATTTTTAACTGGAGTAGAGATTTAAGTATAGCATTCTGCCCACCTGTAAACTATTATCTATGTGATAGAAGAATGTCTGCTTACTCCCTTTTTCATTTTTATTATTTTGGGTTGTTGGTGAGTGACAGGGCTCCTGCATGTCTGAATTGTTGCTGCTATAGCTGACTAGTACTCACATAAAACATTCAAAGAAGACCAAAAAGTTAAATAATTTTAGTCTATTTTTTTTTCTGGTCTAAAAACCAATGTATTTGAATTTTGTAAAGAAAGTAGTATAAGGGGAACAAAAAAAGAATTTCAGTCTATTTTTGTGTGAAAGCAGTTCTGAAAGTTTCCCAATCTAGTTCTTCTGGCTGTAAATGAGGAGAAACTCCTATCTGACTCTGATAACAGGTAGTCTATTATTTCTGATAACAGAAATTTGACTTTTAATTATTTCACAGATATTTTTAAATAAGGAGTCGGAAGAGGCTACCTAGGGGATTGCTTGTTAATTATACATCACTTTAAATCCATTATTCTAGTCAGGCAGCTTTTAGCCTCCAACATAAAAGTATCCATGATCTATCAAATGAATGATCTATGGGGTCAGAGTAGATAAGCAGACAGCAAAGTCTCTTCCACTGGGAGTGACAGAGTAGATGGATGAAGAAAGAAATATTTGAGGTGGGCCTTGAGGGTTCAAAAGTTATTATTATTAACTTTTTTTTCTTAGACTGTATTTCAGAGCAAGGACCTGGAATGAGAGAAGGCGTGGGAACAGGAAATGATAAGGCATCTCTGAGAAATGGCATATAAGCAATTTTAGCCAGAGTTCAGTAGTGTAAAAATACAATCTGGACGTGGGGAGAAAGGTTATATATAAAGGATGAGAGAAGACTAAAGGTTATGAATATGGTACAGTACTGAAATATAGTACAATACTGTAAAAAGCCTGCCTAGTCCAGAGGAGAGGATCCCGAACTCTGCATAATAGTGACCTCAGTTATGGCTCTGCATAGCATAGAGAGTTTAAATCTGGGAGATGAGAAACCTCTAAGATTTTATGCCCAAACTCCATTTAGTGCAGTGAGTCTATTTTCTGAGGCTTCAGGGCTGAGCTGAGAGTGATAGAGACAGTTCGATGTAAACTGCCTTTGTAAGGAAACATAACTTTTGCCTGGCAAAGCAAGCAAGAAAGGAAACTAATATTTATTAAACATGTATCACTTGCCAAATGCTGCTCTCGGTCTTTTCACATATAGTATCTCAAGCAATTCTTTTCTGTGGCTCTCTGTGACATTACAATCCCCTTTTCCACAGATGAAAAATTAATTTACTCAGGAACACAATCATGGAGCAGGGTTTCAGTGTAAGAATGTATTGCCCAAATTCTTCCAGCTTTGTGATAGAAAAGAAGAGTATTCTATCAGGTTATATCAGTTTATGGAATGTACAATGTTCTGTATGTAGTTGGGAGTAAGGGCCAAGGTTATTGACAAGTAATGTGAGGCAGAATTCAGGTCACAAATAGAAATGTAATAGTCATGATGGTCATGGTTGTTTGCCTCTCCTATATCCTTACGGCGGGCACATGGGGAGGATCTTTGGCCTCATTGTACCTCAATTTTCTTTCTTTCTTTTTTTTTTTTTGTACAATGAATAATTACATATGCCTGCCTCAGAAGGTTTTTACAAGAGATAATGAGATAATTTAATTAAAAATGTGTTATTGGCTACCTTGGTGTCAACTCCTCATCTATGGTGATCCCATACACAACAGAACTACGAAAAATAAAAACCCATTGTTGTTTTCTTGGAGAAAGACATCATGCTCAGAAGGGTGGAGGGACAGCAAAGGTGAGGAAGACCCCAGATGAGGTGTATTGATACATTAACTGGGGCAATGGGAGTAGGCATGTTGGAGTCAGTGAGACTGGGTCAGGGCAGGGCCACTATGAGTTACAGGTGACTTCACGACACATAAAAATAACAACAACATTGAGTCAGAACCAACTCATAGCTGATGCCTACCTTCGTAAGATTTTTAGAGTCTGTAAATCACATGGGAGGAGATTGCTTATCTTTCCCTTTAGGAGCAGCATTGGACTTGAACCACCTGACTTTGAGTTAACAGTACAACTTCTTACCCAGTAGGCAACCAGAGCTCCCTCAATGGAGCGAGGTTATCATTATGTGCCAGAGTCAGAACCAACTCACAGCTGATCACCAATGGGCTTTCAGAGGCTCTAAATTGCACAAGAGGAGAGTGCTTATTTTTTTCCTTGAAGTAGGTGGTGGATTTGAATTGTGTATTTTTGTGATGTGAGGCACAGTTCTGGTCCATTTTGCTATTTTGCTTTGTTTTCAAACAATAAAAAATGGAAACTGTTATTCATAGAGTTTTCACTGGCTGATTTTCAGAAGTAGAATTGCTGGCTTTTCCTCCCAGCCCATTTTTGTCTAGAAGCTCCACAGAAATGTATTCAGTATCCTAGCAGCACACAAGCCTCCACAGACAAATAGATAGATGGTAGCAGCCCATGAGGTGCCTTATCTGTGAAGAAATCTTAGCTTTCTGACGTGGAAAGTGAGAATCCTACCACTGAACCGCCACTTCTCCTCTTCTAAAAGCTGTTGTTTGCCAGCTCACGGAGGAGACTACCCATCTTTCTCCTGCAGAGGAGCCAGGGGATTCAGCTAGTCAGCCTTTGGGATTGCAGCATAGCTTCTTACCACTAGGTCTCCAGATGGCTATTACTAAGTTAGGGCAATGGTGAACACTTGGTGCCATACATAACACTCACCTTCTATTTCTCCAAGTTATCTACTTTATGAGATCTTTACTAAAATATGGAAAATCTCTTATTCTGAAGCACTTACATATTTTAAAAATCAATGAGAAGAATATACACATTTAACTGTATCATTAAAGGAAAATTCATCCTTCTCAGAAATTTATTTATCTCCAAATTTTCCTTCATTATGGCAAATCTATTTCTGTAAATACGAAACAGACCACTTCATCTTAACACCTCAGACAATACTTACAAAGTTCAATTACAGAGTTAAACTTGCACAGTCTACTCAGCTTACAGAAACGTAATTTTCCACAGTATAAGAGCACATACTCTTTTATCCTAGTCATGAAGTATTAGGCAATTTTTATCTAGGAAAAAAAAAATCTCAAGTTTTGCTAATTCTTACTTTACAAAATAAACAATATTTAAAATTATTCAAATGAATTAGGTTTAAGACATCAAATCTACAGAAACTCCCTAAAATATTAAAATACTTGGATGCATTCTTCTTGACTATGTGCTTAGAGAGAAATATAAGTATATTTCAAAGTGTTTTTTAAGCTATAAAAGCAGCAGATATTGTCTGTAGAAAATCTATAAAATTTAGAAGTGTTAAAAAAGAATTTAAAAAAATCACTCATAGTAACATTTTCTTCATTAGCACTTGAACTTGTACATTTTTTGTTATTTTTACAGATTTGTCTTGGAGAAGGTACAGCCAAAATGCTCCTTGGAGGTAAATAATGAAGCCTCTTTTTACATACTTTGAGCATGTTGCTTGTTGTTGTTATGTGCTGTTGAATTGCCTGAGACTCACAGCAATCTTATGTACAATAGCTCTGAAGATTGCCCTATTCTAAGCCAGTCTTACTGACACACCTACTCCCATAATAACCCAGTTACTGGGTCAGTCTATCTCATATGGTCTCTTCCTCTCCTGTGTTGTCCCTCTATCCTTCCAAGCATGATATCCTTCCCCAAGGCTTGGCCCTTCCTAGCCATGTGCCCAAAGTATGTGAGACAGAGCTTCCAAATCCTTGCCTTCAAGAAGAAACTTGGTATCACCCTCTCCAAGACAAACCTATTTGTTCTCTTGGAAAACTATGGTACGCTCAAGACTTTTCTCTAGCACCACAACTCAATTCTTGTTCTGTCATCCTTAGTCACTTTCCAGCTCTTTGATGTATACCAAGTAATTGTGAAGATCATGAGCTGCATCAGGCGCACCTTAGTCTGTAGACTGACATTGTTGCTTCTCAGTAATCTGGAGAGGTCCCTGACAGCTGACTTTCCCAGTGTAATCTGTCTTTTGATTTCCTGACTGCTGGTGCCAAGAGTGTTGATGTGAAGCTAAGTAAGCTGAAATTGTTAACAAGTTCAATCTCTTCTCCATCTATCTTGGTGCTGCCAGTTGGCCCAGTAGTGAGAATCTTTGTCTTCTTGATGTTGAGCTTCAATCCATATTGAAGACTACAGTCCTTGAACTTCTTCAGTAAGTGCTTCAAGTCCTCCTCAGTTTCAGCAAGCCTGGTTGTGTCATCTGCATATCACAGATTGTTGATGAGTTTTCCTCCAATCCTGATGCCACATTTCTCCTTATAAATCCCAGCCTCCTGAATAATCTGTTCCTCATAGAGATTGAAAAGATAAAGAGACAGGATACATCCCTGATTTTGAACTATGCAGTGTTTCCCTGTTCTGTTCTGAGGTCTGCTACCTGGTCCAAGCATAGGTTTTACAAGAGCACAATATAGTGTTCTGGGATTCCAGTTCCCCTCAAGTTTAGCCACAATTTGTTGTGATCCACACAGTTGAATCTCTCTGTGTAGTCAATGAAATACAGACAGACATTCCTCTGGTACTCTTTGCTTTTCTACCAAGATTCATCTGACATTGGCAATAATGCTTCTTGTGCCACAGCCTCATCTAAACCCAGCTTGTATTTCTAGTACATGCGAGCAAGAGATGTCTGCGTGACGGTGAGAAAGACCGGGGAAGACAGCTTGACTTTGTTCGTGAACCCCTATAGCCCCGTTTGGAAGATGAAACCAATGATTAAGAGTCATTATGGACTCAAAGGGCAGCAGCGTCTCTCCTTCCAGAATCCAGATGGGGACCGGCAGCTTCTCAGCAGCCAACAAACCCTTGCAGATTTTGGGATTTTCTCTAAGGTGAGCATCAGAATCCTTGAAACCTTTCCCCCTGAGATCCAGATCTTTGTGAAGGAATTGGGCGGCCAGAATAAGCCTTATGCCATTGACCCCGATGACTCCATCTGGGACTTGAAAATGATGACTGAGTCGGCCGAGGGGCCTTTACTGGAGGACCAGATACTCAAGTTCTAGGGTCAGCGACTACAGAATCGTCGCAGCCTCAGAGACCTGCAGATCGAGGACTGTGACACAGTCACGCTTGTCAGGAAAGGCGATCCCTGGGGGTAGCTGTGACGGGGATAACATTTATCAAGTCCCCTCACAGTTCTGTCTCCCCCTTTCTACCCCTTTCTCCCAAGACCATCGGGTTATTTTAAACCATAAATACAATACTCTGCAGTGTTCCAGTGATTCATCATTACCTGGAGAAGAAAGTTCAGATTCCTTTACTTAGTTTTTAACGGTCCTTGACAATCTCGCCCTCGCTTGCATCTTTATAGCCTCTCTGTCTTAATAACTAGAGCTGCTTACACAGAACTGGGACCGGAGGATGACTGTTAACCATTGAAACGTACTCTCACATTGTAGGAAGCTAGAAGTCTGCATTTAGGGAGCTCTGGTGACCTAGTGGTAAGGAGTCTCACTGCCAACCCAAAGGCAGGCGGTTTGAATCCCCTAGCTGCTCCCAGAGAGGGAGAAAGATGGGCGGTCTCTTCCTGTGTGAGGTAGATCATAGATCAATAGTAATTCTAAACAATACAATGTATATTAATGATTGTACTAAACACAGTGTAAATGAAAGATTGTCTAATTGAACATGAATGAAACACAATGTGAATGAATTATTACTGTATGCAAACTAATTAAAAAAAAAAAAAAGCCTCCGGTGGCGGTTCATCCTGAAAAAAAAAAAAAAAAAAAAAAAAAAGGATAGGCTTACTGCACGTGGAGGCCCTGGCGGCGCAGTCGAGTCAGGACTCAGCCCTGTAACTTTCGTTTTCGAGGACTTTAAGATGGAAGGGCGTCCGCAACGGAAAGACATCCCGCCGTGGGTGAAAGTCCCCGAAGACTTGAAAGCTCCGGAGACGTTCGAGGTCCCGAGAACCTGCTGACGCTGGTATTTGGCCCAAATGGATCCCGAATCCCCTACCTTGAGCAAGTGAGCCAGACTATGCTCGAGCTGAAGGTTCTGGAAT